CCGGCTAGAGCTTTTTTCGGGCCGAGGCCGAGCCGTCCGAGTCGGCGAGCTTTTTTGCCACTACTATATGCAACCCACCCAAAAACAGCCCCTTACCTCCGACGTTGGTGGCCGGAATTTCGTCCCAAATTGGGCCTCTCGCACACCAGCAATTTTGTACTGTGTGAGAGGCCCACTTTTGGATGAAATTCCACCATTTTTCGTCCACCAAAACCACCGGACCAAGACACCACCTTGAAGCTCTTGCTATCCTCTACGCAACCCACCAAAGAATCGCTCTTAAATCTGCCGGAAAGTGATCGGAATTTCGTCCCAAAGTGGGCCTCTCACACAGGACAGCAATGCCAGGTGCCATTTTGGTACCAAAATCCAACACTTTCTGGTCACCAAAAACCATCGGATCAACACACCGTCTTGAAGTCCTCGCTGTTCTCTACGCAACCCACCCAAGAATCGCTCCAAAATCTCCCGAAAAGTGGTCGGAATTTAGTCCCAAATTGGCGGCTGGCGGTTTTTGCTGTGCGAGCGGCCCAATTTGGACGAAATTCTGGCCACTTTCCTGAGGATTTAGGGATGATTCTTGGGTGAGTTGCGTACAGGAAAGCGAGGGCTTCAAAGTGGTGTATTGGTCTGATGGTTGTGGTGGACAAAAAGTGGTGGAATTTCGTCCAAAATTAGGCCTTTCACACAACACAAAATCACCAGCTGTTAGAGAGGCCCACTTTGGGACGAAATTTCGGCCACCACCGTAGAAGGTAGGGGCCGTTCTTGGGTGGGTTGCGTAGAGGGAAGCGAGGGCTTCAAGATGGTGTGTTGGTTCGGTGGTTTTGGTGGCCAGAATGTGGTGGAATTGGGACAAAAAATTGGTGGTCTGAGTTTGGGGTTGGAAAGATTTTAAGTTGAATTTTTCACTTGAGATCCTCTAGCTTCTATGCCCTCGTGTTTTAGTTCTTTAGGTTTGAATTAAAACATAATAGTACTTAAACTAAGGTCATGACCTTTTTGAAACCGCGTGAAACTTCGGTGACCATTTCTACAAGTTTTAAACTTTAGTGACCGTTTTGTTATTTTCGTGTAACTTCAGTGACCGTTTGTGAAATCAACCCTCAATTGTGACATGATGAATTTTATATAAGAAAATAACTTATCATGTTAAAATCTTACCT